TGGGTTGTGCCGGGTGTAATTTACAGACCAGATTTCTGGTGCCCCCTTTTTTAAATTTCCACCCACCGGGACGTTCCCCCCTACCAACCCTAAACAAGACCTCTTTCTCATCGGGCTAGATCACGAGGGGGGCTGATGACTTCGGGATAAAAACCTGGGAAGGGAGACGGAAAAAAACCAAAGGGGAAGTGGGGAAGGGGAACACCCGGGGGGCCCAGGGAGGTTTCCTGACACATGAACCTGGGAAAAGCGAGAATACCTTGGGGAAATGGGAAGGGGGAATATCTGAGGGGGACAATGGACCCTGGACACAGGACCGGGAAAGAAGATACGGGTTTTGCATAGGAAACCCCGGGGAAAGGGGGGAAGGGAAAATCTGGGGGGACACAGATTACCCCTGGACACAGACCTAAAAAAAGAATACTGGTTTGGGAAAACCCTTTGGGGAAAGGGGGGAAGGGAGAAACGGGGGGACACAAAATTGACCCTGGATACAGGGACCTAAAAGAAGAAATACGGTTGCATGGGCAGACCCGGGGAAAGGTGGGTGGAAATACTGAGGGACACGATTGATCCTGACACAGGACCTGGGAAAGAAAAAGATCTGGTTGCTGAGGGCCCTTTGGGGAAGTAGGGGGGGGAGAACATCTGAGGGGACACAGATGGACTCCCTCAAAACCCGGGGAAAGCAAAAAAACACAGTAAGGGATGGGTAACCTTAAAGATGAACCCCCGGGCCCTCCACGGGGAAAAGGCCCGGGTAGCTCTGGGGCTGACAGTGGTCCAAATAAAAATAAACAATTTTTTTATTCTTAGCTATGGGGTTTTGGGAAAAGCTTAATTTTTTTATTAGAATGAGTGTTGGTTTGGTCGAGGAATTGACATACTTAGCAACAAATGGAGTCTTTATTGAAGAAACGTTTACCCCACAGTACTTTCATCACCCGTACAAACCCGGGAAGGAGTAGTGTGGGGTAATCAGCCCCTGACAGCTAAAAGCAGGGGGAGGGGGGATCACAGGGGGACCATCACTAGGAAAGTGGGGCTTCGCCGAAGGGTTTAAAACCTTGTCTAACTCCGAGAATAAGAATGGGTAGTTGGAATGATTAAAATTCTTCATGTATCCTATGCAATGATAAAATGAAAAGCGTTGAATAAAAAAAAATATCTAAAAATTTTTATATGGTATATAAGAAAGTCGCAAAATTGAGGGGAGTGATTGAGGGTGAGATTGATTGAGGAAAATGAGGACTGAGGGTGATAATGTTTTGATGGGATAAGTGTTTGAGGGTAGAATTGTAAAGACTCATCCAATGAATGGTTTTGAAAACCGACAATTGAAGAATTACGCACTTATCAACATAGGGAATCTTTACTAAGAAACTTTCGCCACACGTGGCTTCACCCCAATACAAATCGGTTTTCGAAACCATTCATCACATCTGTAAACCCTCTACAACACATGGAATTCGATACAGAGAATTCTTCAACATTTGTCCAACCCTTTAGAGAAGACCTACTTACACTATGACGGGTCCCACTGTCCCCCGCCTCCTCCTTTTTGTCTCCCCGGGCTGCTATATAATCACCTCTCGGCCCTATCTGCACTTCCTAAAGTTTTATGAACTAAAACACATAAACTCCAGGTTGGGGCTGTTTTACCTCAAACCCCCCTCCCTTTACCTTTCCCGCTTTGTATTAGCTGATAACCACTGGTTTTCGAAACGTTTCCTCAGAAAGATTCCCCTACTTTCATGTCCAATTTTTCAACTTGTCGTTTTCAGAACCATTCATTGGGTGATGTCGTTTCACACTATCATCACCATCAATACATCACATCAAACCATCACACCATAAAAAAAAAAAAAATTTCCTTTTTTAAAACCTGAGATGGGAACTCAAAAATGTGCAAAACTTTGGGGACTTTTTTGAGAAAATTTTTCGCCACACAGTGGCTTTATCATCCATGTAAAGGAGAATTGAAGAACAGAGGGGAAAAGAGGTAATCAGCCCTCAACCTTGAGTCGATGGTCATCCATCAATCTAATAGAATACAGCATAGAGCGAAAAGGGCTTTAAAACTTAGGGAAGAGGTGCAGCAGTCGTAGGGGGCACATTTGTCATGTGGAAATATTTGTTTATCAACGTTTCGGTTCTCGAACCATTCATACTCCTGTCAAAACTGCAAATTCTTGAGATCAAAAAAATTTGGGGAAATTTTTGCCTAACCTTGGGGGACGACCACTTCCCCATTGACAAATGTGACACCACCACGCTGCGCAAACCCTCCCACCACAGTATATAACCCTTTTTCCCCTCATATGCTGTTTCTATTTACATTATGATGACAACATCGACCAAGGTTAAGGACGATACCTCATTTTCCGCCCTTTCTTCACAATTTTCCTTTATAGGACTGATAAGCCACTGTGTGGGGAAAAGTTTTTTCCCCAGAAAAGATACCCAAAAGTTGCACATTGCTAATTTATCACATGCGGTTTTTTCTGAACATTCATCTACATACCATCTAAAACCTTTTTGATATTTTTTATATACAAGGTTTTTTTCTCTCGTACAGAGGGTAAGAAGAATTTTAACTTCATTTCAACTACCTTTTTTCAGCCTGGAACTTGAGGAAGGTTACAATCCAAAACTATGGTCCCTATCATCAAAGAATATTTAAAAATTATGATTTTTCTTAATTTTTTAATTTTTTATGTAGCAGAACATTCTGGGGATGTTATCTTTGTCACCCCCCCACGGGGGTTTTAACATAAACTTATCTTTCTGTGTATTTTTCACCTACGGGGAAGTTGGTTTAGATATTCTGCAAAGGGAAAAGAGAGGATCACTAATTTAAATAGTCGAGATCTTCATCAAACTTACAGAAATTTTTGTTATAAATCACATTTTCATTTTTTGTTATTTTAATCAGAGCAAAAAGGGAATAGCTACTTAAAAACAGCAGAAAGGAATGAAGAGAGTGTAGTGTGGACCTGGTGAGAGTGTAGTGTGGACCTGGTGAGTGTAGTGTGGACCTGGCGGGAGTGCAGTTTGGACCTGGTGAAAATGTAGCCTGAACCTGGTGAGAGTGTAGTGTGGACCTGGTGAGAGTGCATTCTGGACCAGGTGAGAGTGTAGTCTGGACCTGGTGAGAGTGTAGAGTCGACCTGGTGAGAGTCTTTTGTCGACCTCGTGAGAGTGTAGTGTGGACCTGGTGAGAGTGTAGTGTAGACCTGATGAGAGTGTAGTGTGGACCTGGAGAGAGTGTAGTGTGGACCTGGTGAGAGTGTACTCTGGACCTGGTGATAGTGTAGTCTGGACCTGGTGAGAGTGTAGTCTGGACCAGGTGAGTGTAGTCTGGACCTGGTGAGAGTGTAGTGTGGACATGGTGAGAGTGTAGTCTGGGCCTGGTGAGTGTAGTCTGGACCTGGTGAGAGTGTAGTGTCGACCTGGTGAGAGTGTAGTCTGGACCTGGTGATAGTGTAGTAAGGACCAGGTGAGAGTGTAGTTCGGACCTGGTAAGAGTGTAGTGTGGACCTGGTGAGTGTAGTCTGGACCTGGTGAGAGTGTAGTCTGAACCTGGTGAGAGTGTAGTGTGCACCTGGAGAGGGTGTAGTGTAGACCTGGTGAGTGTGTAGTCTGGACCTGGTGAGAGAGTAGTGTCGACCTGGTGATAGTGTAGTTTGGAACTGGTGAGAGTGTAGTGTGGACCTGGTGAGAGAGTAGTGTGGACCAGGTGATAGTGTAGTTTGTACCTGGTGAGAGTGTAGTGTGGGCCTGGTGAGAGTGTAGTGTGGACCTGGTGAGAGTGTAGTTTGTACCTGGTGAGAGTGCAGTGTGGACCTGGTGAGAGTGTAGTCTGAACCTGGTGAGAGAGTAGTCTGGACCAGGTGATAGTGTAGTTTGTACCTGGTGAGAGTGTAGTGTGGGCCTGGTGAGAGTGTAGTCTGAACCTGGTGAGAGAGTAGTCTGGACCAGGTGATAGTGTAGTGTGGACCTGGTGAGTGTGTAGTCTGAACCTGGTGAGAGAGTAGTCTGGACCAGGTGATAGTGTAGTTTGTACCTGGTGAGAGGTAGTGTGTGGGCCTGGTGAGAGTGTAGTCTGAACCTGGTGAGAGAGTAGTCTGGACCAGGTGATAGTGTAGTGTGGACCTGGTGAGTGTGTAGTGTGAACCTGGTGAGAGAGTAGTCTGGACCAGGTGATAGTGTAGTTTGTACCTGGTGAGTGTGTTGTGTGGGCCTGGTGAGAGTGTAGTGTGGACCTGGTGAGAGTGTAGTCTGGACCTGGTGATCCGAACTTGCTCTCGAAAAGGTCGAACTTCCTTAAAAATGAGACTTTTCAGAAAAAAAAAATTACATAATGATATATGATTTTTTTGTTGACAATGATATAGAGATTTTTACTTTTGGATCAAAACTAACTTAGAAATCTCACTTAACCAAACTTAAAGTAACGTATTTTTTTAACTAGATTTTACTATACGTATCAAAGGTAAATTAAAATGTACTTAATATTGCCTAAAATAAATAATATATATATAGTTTTTCATTATGGTCAGATTGATTTTCGCAAATTTATGGTAAAAACAAATTTTCATTATGCTTATTCGGCAGAGGGCATAATTGCCGACTTGGCCAAACTCACCTGTTCGGCTATTCGTCACAATCTGAAAAGTTTTCATAATAGCCAGTACATCAACGAATTACATTTACCTATGTCCTTATAATAGTCTGGAATTAAATAATTTGTTAATTTTCACCTAAAAAGAACTCTCAAGACAAGTTGCTTCTTGAATCTACAGCAAATCTTACCATCAGAAGCTCCATATGTGCTGTATTACTCTCAAGGGTTTAGCCCCTTTCTTTTGAAAGAGTATATACGGCAGTAGAGGATTGTGCTCTATTCGACGTATATCTCTTGCTCTATTGGAGGGATTCTCCTTCGAAGGCGCTCCCTCTGAAGAACAGAGCAAGAGAAATGATGGATTGTACAATCC